GTGTGTGTGTGTGTGTGTGTGTGTGTGTGTGTGAGAGAGAGAGAGAGAGAGAGAGAGAGAGAGAGAGAGAGAGAGAGAGAGAGAGAGAGAAAGCAGAATACTGATAGGCGTGTGCTGCGATGAAGACATGCAAAACCACTATGAAGACATTTGTACACCTATAAACTGTTGAAATACAGACCGGAGTTTGAGTCCACACCAAACTAGATGAACTGATTTCCTAAATTACCTGGGGTCGGTAACCTTCATGATAATATCTCAAGGCCGTCACCCTTCCAAAAAAGAAAAACTGGAGAAAAAGAGAAGACGGTTTCTACTACTATGAAGTTGGGCTTCACCACTGTAAAGAGGGGTCGAGACGGGCATTACCACTATGAAGATGGGCATATTACACCGTAACCACACTCACACATTAAGATCCAGTTGAAAAAAAAAAAAAAAAAAAAAAAAAGATACAGTTGACGTAGCTCAGTGGTTGGAGCACCGGTTGGAAATGCGCATTGTGGTACGAGGTTGCGGGTTCAAAACTTCGCAGCGTTGCGCATGGACACCGGCAGGGCGTTAGAATGACGCACGGCTGGGCACACACGCCCTTGGGATGACGCAGGTAAGTTATTACAGACACTGCCTGCGCACCACCCAAGGGCCCGGTAGTCCATGGTTGTTGTATGTGGGGACTAGGCGATGGTGGGTATCCTGATGCTCTTGGTCTACGGGGTTGTCATGAGACTGCTGGGCGGCTCGCATAGTCCGGTTTACTCGAGCCCAGCAGAGCACAGCCACAGACTATTTCACAGTGTAGGTCAATAGGTTAGGTCACTTGCACGATTCACATACCAGACTGTAACTTAGGGCTGGTCATCCTCCAAAGGATTGAGGCTGGCATAGCAGTTCCTTAGTACCGGATGTCGGGAGTGTCAGGAGATAGTGCACTTCACCGCGGGGCAGGAACGGGCTCCAGGGACATACGAGGGAACAGAGGATTGTCTGCTCTCAGATTACCATACAACACAGGGCTAAGAGATTATCCAGGGTCAATGCATACAGTCCATGATTCACGATTGAGGTTGGGCTATCCTCCTAGTATGTACCTTAGAGTTGAGGCTGGCATAGCAGTCCTTAGTACGGATGTTGGGGGTGTCAGGAGATACTGCACCTTACCGCGGGGCCAGAACGGACTCCAGGGATATAGGAGGGAACGGAGGATACCCATCTCTCTACCATCAACACCATAGTACACTGTAGTAAAAAGACAACATAAGGCACTCAGTCCATAACTCGTGACCCATGGCCGGAACGGGCTCCAGGGACATACGAGAGAACGGCGGATACCCAGCTCTCTATCATCACCACACAACTAAGCTAGATGGGAGTCACTGTGCGCCCTCATGAAGACCTGTAGTAGTATTTTCAAACCTAGCTCCCGAAGTCCCCGTGCGATCAGGCTTGCACGGCGTCTGCTTCAACCGGGCTGAGCAGGGGGTAGGCATCTCTGCTTAGCCCCGGTACCTGCAACCGCTGTCTGGTCAGGTCACCTTGCCAAGATGGCAATGGGTGATGGTCCTGTGTGGTTAACACTAGGGTAGGACAGGGAGGGTGGGGGTGCGCCCGGGCAAAAAAAGAGATGAGAGGAAGGGTGGGTGGGGTCTTCAGAGGGGTTCATCTGGACAACCGAGTGGGCGAGTACTGTGGGTGACTGCCATCCGTCTAGTATCCCACCTCTACAACAACCTTAAAAAAAAAAAAAAAAAAAAAAAAAAGAACAAGTGCTCCAGTCTATTTGTGGGGAGCAGCACGTGCTGGGAACCGGGCCCAGCGTCCCATATCGAATTATACAGGTCATTGAGAACATTTGAGGTCGTTTGAGGTCATTTGAGATACCGGGGCCCTTACGCGGCTTCGGCTGAGAACAATCTGTGAACACGATGAGATTCAGAAACATGGGGAAGATCCTGAATATCGAATGCCTATTAGGGAATTACTCATGCAATAACCTGCC